AGAGGTTCTGAGTTCAATTCCCAGCAACCACATGGTGGCTCACAACCATCCGTAATGAGATCTGGTGCCCTCTTCTGGCCTGCAGGCATACATGCAGATAGAACACTATACATAATAACTAAATAAATAAATCTTCAAAATAAATAAAGGTTAAAATTCCTTTAAAAATATTTTAGACCAGGTGTTGGTGGTGCACACCTTTAATCCCAGCACTGGGGAAGCAGAGACAGGTGGATCTCTGAGTTCGAGGCCAGCCTGGTCTGCATAGCAAGCTCCAGTCAAGAAACCCTGTCTCGAAAACAATTTTGTTTTGTTCGTTTTGTTTTTTTGTTTGTTTGTTTGTTTGTTTTTCAAGACAGGGTTTCTCTGTGGCTTTGGAGCCTATTCTGGAACTAGCTCTTGTAGACCAGGCTGGTCTGGAACTCACAGAGATCCACCTGCCTCTGCCTCCCGAGTGCTGGGATTAAAGTCGTGCGCCACCAACGCCCAGCGAAAACAATAAATGTTTAAAAAGAAATTATGAAAAGACAGCCCTTCTTACCTCTCTCACCATGCTCTACGTAGCCCACAAAGAGGTGGAAATCACCCAGCTCCAGCGGGTCAACTATGCACAGGCGGCTCTCACCAGGCGGTGGTGAAAAATCAAGCTGGCTGGGCCAGAGATTCACAGCGCACACAGGTTTCTGGGTTATGTGTCTGCTGCTGCACCGCTAGGTCCCAGGACTGGGTGGAAGGAAAGGAGCAGGTGTCTGTCTTCAAACACCAGGTGTACATCCTCAGCCAAGAAGTCCACACCCGCTGCTCAACGAAGAGCTGGAGAGCATGGAGGAGCGTGGGTGATTACAAACCCACGGACGCCCCCTGCTTCGTTAACATCAACTGGAGCAAGACCAGAAGCCAGCTCTGCCCAGTAGGCCCTGACAGGAGCTGTCCTCCCGGCTCTGCAGCTGTCCCGGGCTTCAAGAGCTAAGTGTGATAAGTCGGGGGCTGCCCTCCCACCTTGTGGCTAAAGGCTGTTGCTACCACCGTGGACCTTTTGGTTCCTTGTAGCCTGCAAAACTGCTCACTGGGTAAACGGTGAGTGTGGGGGTACGGCAGCCAGGAGTAGTAAGATGACAAGTTAAATTCGTCTAGAAATGGGGGTCTGCTAAGCAACTCAGGCTACTGTTGGAGTCAAGGCAATCCTGCTTCAGCCTAGCTTGTGCCGGGAGTTCAGGCGTGAATCCTCACACTCGGCCTCACTGAGCCATTTGGATGCCCAGTTCTGGCCTTCCTCCTTTCTCTTTAGCCTCTAGCTGGGTGATGGCTAGGTAGCATGTTTCCTTGGCCTTGACCTAGCCCAACTCATCACCTAGCCCAATCCTCTTAGACACCCGGCCAGTGTCTGCAGAATCTCAGCCAGGTGGGAGAACTGAAAAGGGGCCACAGGGACACAGCAACAGATGGTGTGACAGCCCTTCCCCAGCCGCGTCCTTCCATCTTCCCAGCCTCTTTAAGTAGCAGTGAGCAGGAGGTGGGCTCAGGCTCTCTTCTGCTCTCAAGAAAGTGCTGCAGAGCCGAGGGGCGGTGGCCTTTAATCCTAGCACTTGGGAGGCAGAGGCAGAGGGCCTCTGTGAGTTCAAGGCCAGCCTGGTCTGCAGAGCAAGTTCCAGGATAGTCATGGCTACACAAAGAAACCCTCTCTCAAACACACACACACACACACACACACACACACACACACA